GCTCTAGGAAATGACCTCCCTGACCCAGCAAATAATAAATTAAGGGCTCAATTGGCCCTTTTTTTTCCTTCCAAGTTCTTTCCTCTATGGTGAATAAGTTAAGAGGAGCCAACCCCTCCATGGCAACTGCTTGGAGAGGTATTCATCATTTCCAGAGTAAATTAATGTGCTTGTGGGTAGTCACAGTATGGGATGCTGTCAAACCTCTTTGGTACCTCCCCAAAATGGAATCATGTTTCTTTCCCCATGAGGTCTCCTCTTGATAGCTATTTTTCATGCATTGATCTGGGTTATCTGTCACCCTTTCAGAAGAACACAGGGTTCAGCCACCTCCCCACAATTGCTGCTGTCCAAGAGGTGTGACAGCTTGAAGATCTCTAAAGAAAAGATACCAAGGGTTACACAGGGCATCTTTCAGTCCAAAGTGGTAATGGGAACAAGAACCTTCTCTACCTTGCAGGTCAGCTTTGGTCAACGCAACTTTGTTAGCAAAAGAACAGAAAAAGCGAAAACAATAACCAGAGGTTAGTAAGAGGTAGAATAAACCAGGATAACATTACAGAAATGAAAACGCAATCTGCATAACCAACATCACTCAGACAGACAATTGAAATGCTCTACAGGTTCACCAGAGACAGCAAAGACGGGGTTGGGGAGTGGGGCAGGGAGGACTCGCAGACTAGGGACAGAGCCGGCCTCCTCAGAGCCAAGTCAGCAGAGCAGGGCAGGGGCACATCAGACTTGACAAAGCACAGGCAAAACAGGCAACAAGAGCCTTCTCACATCCACACAGCCAACCTCGGGGAGTGCATGGTCAGACTGAAAGACACGTGTGTGCAATCAGATGGAGCCCACAGAAATAATTCTAAACATTAGGAGCTGAGCATGGAAGAGTCACTTGAGTGTACCCCTTGTGCCCTCTTGCAAATGCCACCCAGGAATTTGGCACCAGAATTAGACATTTGGATCATGGTGATTTGGGAACACCAAAAATCTCAATTTGTTTAATTTTAAAAATATATCCAAACCCAAATAGTTGTGGGCAAAAGGCACCAGATTAATGTCATTTTTATTTATTCATGCCAGTTTCAAAACAAAGCACGTGTATTTCTTTCAGATGTTTATCATCTGCAATTGTTAAACCACATTTCTAGCTGATCATGCCTTGGCCTCTGCAGCAAAGCTGGCCTCAATATAGGAAGATACATTTACCAGTCAAGTACTAAATCAGGTATGATTAAAAACAAAGAAACAAACAAACAAAAAAAAACCCTAGCTTAAATTGAGAGGTATCAAGTTACAACTAAATGTTGACTAGGAGTTGCCCAGAAATTGCACTTCATATCTAAATTATACATTTTGCATCTATCAGAGACATAAAATCAAATACTAGTTTCAAGAATTTTTTCCTTTTTGCTACTCATGCTTGAGAGCTGAAGAGTAGTAAATTAGTATGTTTTTAAATAATTTTGCTAGCACTTTGGGAGGCAGAGGCTGGTGGATCACCTGAGGTCAAGAGTTCGAGACCAGCCTGGCCAACATGGTAAAACCCCATCTCTACTAAAAATACAAAAATTAGTCAGGTATGATGGTGGGCACCTGTAATCCCAGCTACTCGGGAGGCTGAGGCAGGAGAATCGCTTGAAGCTGGGAGGTAGAGGTTGCCGTGAGCTAAGATCACGCCACTGCATTCCAGCCTGGGTAACAAGAGCGAAACTCCATCTCAATCAATCAGTCAATCAATCAATAAAATAAATAAAAATAATTTTGGACTCTTTCACCTTTTATTTTACCTGCTGTCATGTGTCTGATATAATAGGGAAGGTAATACACTTACTAACTAGGGATCTTAAAGTGTCATAGTCGATGACTTTGATGGAAACATATATTAAATGTAGATAGATACAGATATTTATCTCTCTCTGTGTGTGTATATAAATATGTTTATCTGTGTATTCTAGATTTGCTAGAATAAAACACATCTTGAGGAGATCTTGGTCTTAGTTCTTAAGTTATAAAACCTCATCCCCTACTTGTTTACTATTCTATACAAAAGAAATGATAAATTAAGAAATGTGTTCTGTTTCCTGTGGTCCTCATACTACCTAACGCTCAAAGACCTTCTTGGGGGTCTCATGCTCTACACAAGAGATTCAGGATACAAATCATGCCTTTTTGCAGCCTCTCCAGTGTTTTGCACTCTCTCTTTACCTCCCCACCATCTTACACAGAACCCTAAAATGCTCCTGGGATCTCTTGCAAGGGCTTACTCACAGTGGTACACACTTCCAATGACAGTAATTTATGCCTTAACCCACTTTGGGCCATTTTTCCTGGCCACTTAGACTAATTATCCAAGTCATTTGTGTACAATCAACAAGGACTTTCTTCCCTCAGCACTCACCCTCCACTTCATCCCACCCAGCAGGGTAGGCATAATGCTCAGTGGGTAACCGTTGTAATTATCTCCATGGCAATAGAGTGCAGTGCTATTAGGCTCATGGGACTCACCATAGATTCAGATGGTGGAGCCATCAAGCCACAATATCCGGTCTTGAACAATCAACCATACTCAGAAGAAGGTCAGAGCCCTCTGTAATGCATGTGATGAGTAATGCCAAACTGCACATAGAGCTGTACGTAGGGATAGGGACATTTTCCCCAACTCGTTATGTAATTTCTTTTTGCTGATGCTCTTACTGCTTCTCTTAAAACTCTCTTAAGTCAGGTCATTTTCCCTTTATATTATATGTTTTAGTACCCTTTTATAAAGCTTAGACCTCCTTTTAATCCAATACTATAGCTTTATTTATTTACACCTTTTTATATTCTGTATACCTGTACTATCAATACAGCAGCCACTGACATGTGTATTGAGCACTTTAAATGCATGTAGCCCCTGGGTTGAGGTGTGCTGCAAGTATAAAATGCACACTCAAGTTTAGAGGCTTAATATGAAAAAAAAGGTGTGAAATATTGATAATTTTATCTTGATTACATTCTGAAATAATATTTTGGATATATTTTGTTAAGTTGAATAAAATACAAAATTACAATAAATTTGACCTTACTTTACACCTTTTTGAAATGTAGCTACTAGGAAATTTATAATTGCATGTGTTACATATATCTATTGGGCCACCTTGACATAGAGTTTAATGGATGATTCCTGTTAACTTTTCAATCTGAAGAACTGATGGCATGATAAAAAATATGTAACATTTGACCAGTATCTTATGCTTTCTAATATGTGCTCTTATATTGTGATTTGACTTCATATGATTAATTATTCCAGGATAAATGGAATTACTGCCATTCCACAATCTTCTAAACTACTATATTCAATTTAATTCCAAATGCTACATCTATCCCAGGATTACCCTTTAATACACAAAAGAACTAAAAGCAAGCCAAGGAGACAAAAATCCTTGATTGAATGAAATTGTTCATTTCTAGGAGCAAAATGGCTGCTTTAAGGGCTTAGTGATTCCCAACCTCCTGTCCCTTTACACACACACACACACACACACACACTACATACTACAAACACCATATTTGGCCAAGAGAATTTAAGAAATATTTCTGGATAAAGGAAAAATGGAGTGGGTTATAGGAATGAATACTCTTATTACTAGTGCAAAACAAAAAAATAACTCTCAGGCAAAGGGAAACAATTTCCATAACATCAAGTCAGCCTGAGAAGCTGACAGGAAGCTTTTATAAAAGTGTGCTTTATGACAATGAGTGAACCCAGATGGAAGCTGTTTAAGACAGAAGCGATACATGAAGTTGAACACAGAAGAGGAATGAACAGATTTGATGTGGTAAACTAACAACTGATACAAGGAAACACAATATATTGCACAAACACAGGACCATAAGGCTCAACCAAAAGGCTCAAAAAGAAGAAAAGGAAATAATTACATAGATCCTCGGTCAGGCAACTTCTTTGCCTTTCAAGTGAGGTAAGAGTCACGTTTTTCAGCCAACCCAAGGCTACTAGGGAAGGCTGAATCTGTTCACTTCTGCCATCTGCTGCTTAAAACTAGATTGTTTACACTGCAAAGAATTGCTGGATTCAGGAAGACCTGTAAAATTCATTTAATATCTCAAGAGACAGTGGATCATCTACAGGAACAGGCTGAGCATGGTTTGTTGTGCTGCATGGGTAGACATGCAGTATTATTAGATGTTTGACATAAAATACTATTTGTAAACAAAAATCCTACCATTTATAGAGTACCTACCACATATCAGGCATTTTATATGTATTTCTGATTTCCTTACATTCAAGGTAAGTTTTATTGCCCTCTTTTATAGTTAAGAAAGATAGAGCCTAGAGAAGTTACATCACCTTCCAAATGTCACATAGCTAACAAGAGCTACTACCTGGAGCTGAATCCAGGTCTTTCTAACATCAAAGCCCATAATGTTCCATTATACCACACTAAAGAACTGCCTAACAATGCCTGATAACTAGTAAGTACTTAATAAATGTTAGTTCCCTTCCATCATCATGGCATTTGGACATCGTTTTCCTATCACCTACTAGATTTGCATTAAATAATGCAGTCACTACCAGCAAAAATAAGACACATTTTATTAATTAGTGACAGCTACATAAAATCTCTGATTTCCCCTCATCACGTATTAAAGTATAAATAAAAGTCCCCAGTGCTCTTTCAGCCATTCTGGAAGCCAAGGTACACACTGGAAGAAGCCTGATGTCAATGCCAGGGAAGTTTTGTTTTTTATTATTTTTATTGGCAAGTATGTGATACTCAGAAAACATCTGCCAACATACATTCCTGGAGCCTGTGGCACATGTCTTGACATACTAAACCGGTGACAAGAGGACACTGATGGTGATGCAATGTCACATGGCAAATGAGAATGAGACAGGAATGGTCAACTGAGGAAGGAGGCACTGGCAGAGGCAGCAAAGAGGGCTGGTGCTTGCAACAAGGCTCTGGCTTAACAAGAAAAAAAATAGGTTGTACCTTCACATCCACGCTCGATCTGTCCGCTCCGATGAAGGGCATCATTGATGAGGTCTGGCAGGCGTCCATTCAAGTCCACTGATGCCAGACAGCCCTGAAACCCATCTCGAGAGGCCACAAGCTTTGGGAGGTTGCTGTACATGCCTTGGGCCAGACCAGCCATGTAGAGATCACCTGGAAAGGAAAGTCAGTAGCAAAAGAGAATGAGTAAAGGATGTGTTGACCATGTCAACTAGTTTGATACACTTGAGGTAATTCATCAGATAAGGGATAAGAGAGCTGGAAGGAAAACAGCATAAACGAGATAAGCACCAGAGTTTCTATCCTGCAAAAAAAGGAAACCAACATTTATTATGTGTCATTCATTTTACATATATCATCTCAAAAATTTAATCATCATAGATGGAGTAAAGATTAACAATACTGTCAACAAAGCAAGCATTTATTGAGTGCTTTTCATGTGCTTGTTACCAATAATATGCTGAGGGTTTTACAGACATTCCATCAAAATTTCTAACAATCTACAGAGAAACTAACAATGATCATCTTCATTTTGCAAAGAAAAGTAAATGTAAGCTGAACAAGGGCGAACACATTTTACCCATGACACCAGACATTAAATGATTCAGCTGAAATTCCAAAGCCTATATTGCTTCCTCTGGATTATGGCCCCTCCCACACTTTGCCAATTATCCTGTCACCACTCAACCCCCACAGCATGACATTCCCAAGGTTATCAGAGAAAATGAACCATTCCTTGATGAGTCGTCTAAGCGAAAACAGAATAAATTGCATACAGAATAATTCAACATTGTTAAAACAGGATACGGATGATGTATCAAAAACACATGGCACTCCGAACCTGTGGTTTGCCTCTGGAAACAGTCTATCTATTGTAAGAAAAGCTCTATTAAAAACTAAACTTCTTTACAGGGTTTACCTTTCAAATCCAGGTTTTTGGCACCATTGATAACCTGAGTGACCACTTTGGTGTCCACTTTCAGGCTATGAGTGTTACTATTGTCCCGAGTGATGACGACATTGTGCCACTGGTTGTCATTCAGGGGGCGATCACTGTTGCCTTTGATCACATTGGGACCGTTTCCGAGGTCAAAAACGTAGTGTATGTACCTAGGAAGAAAAAAAAAAGACAACCAATAATTGGAAAATCCCTGAAGTGGTTTAATGGCTATGTGTGTGTAACTGACAGGGGGCTTCAAATCCCCCGTGCTAAACTGGCATAATGCAGGAATAATTTAAATCTTGATATGAGATTACAAGAATAGTCAGATTTTATTCTATCATGCTTCACTTTAATTCCATACTCATCAAGTCCATTTCATTAACACTACCTAGTAATACTCTGCAGAGTCAAAGTAGCACAGGTTGTACACTACAAAACACAAGGGGGTGAACTTTAAGTTCATAGTCAACCATCAATCTGTTTTTGTTTTTGTTTTTTGTTTTGACTGTTTTCTAATACACAGTAGTAAAATGTCTTGAAGAAAGGGCAACTTCTAAAAACTTGCATATATGGGCTAATGGTAGGATTAAAAATATCTATGTTTCATCTTTTGTTATAAATTGGGTGGTTGTAGTTAGCAATACTCAAGGATTAGATGCAACACACATCATAGTCCTCTTTTGCAAAAATAAGCTTTTCTTCTATAGTCTTAAAGGGCTAGATTTCATAGTAAAAAGTCTGTTCATGTTGAGTTAGTGGAAGACCTTTAAATTAAAGCACGAGTCTCTCTCCTTTTCAGACCTAATAATTTTACGGATCCATTTAATCAAGGAAGATGCTGGAATGTCAGGAATGGAGGGTAGGGAGTAGAAGAGACAAGTTATTTTTATGCCTATATTTTATGTAGAGCTTCAGCAGATTAAAGGTGTCCAACATAAGTCATGATCCCTTCTACTTACCCCTTTACAAGCTCAACTGCAATGAAGTCATTGCCATCACCACTATTGAAGAGAATGAAGCCATCTGGTGAGGTGGTCTTGAACTGGAAGAAGAGGTGCATGGAGGTATAAGCCTGAAGGGTGGCAAGGCTCAGGTAGCTGCTCTTGGTCTTAAAGGTGACAGGGTCGGCGATGATGTTCCTCAGTCCAAAACGAGCCTTCAGTTCACAATAATCAATGTCACCATTTTTGCACAAGTCAATGTAGAGAAGGCCATTAAACATGAGGCTCTGCAGATGGCCAATGAAGCTGGAGGGGACAACGGAGATGTAACGTTTCTCAGTCATGATTCCTGTTTCAATGTTGTGGAACTCCAAACGGGTATGGTCTCCCACCATTGTACCTGTGGAAATTGTAAATGAGGTACAAACAGAAAAAGTTACCATCATTCAGCACAGCACCCTCAAGTATATTTTTTGGGTGTAACTCATTTCCACACAGAATATTCAGTTTTCTTGGGTGAGTTCCAGAAAACCAAATATTCAATATGGTAGATACCTTACTTGGCCTCAATCAGGGCACTGAGGACTAGTGTTGCCCAAATTACATGTCCTGAATCCCATGCTCTCATGCAACTGCTCAGCACGGCTTATCATGTAAGGGGAAATATGAGGTCATGAGTAACCCAGGCTAAAGGATAAAATTACTGGTATTCTCCATTTAGGAGAATCACTGGACACTAATACATACTATAAGAAGAGAGGCCTTTTTGCTCTGACCCTTGTAAAGACACAGCAAACAAGTCTTGGGCATTCACTACCAAGTATTTTTTTCTCGTGATAACTCACCACCTAGTACTTGTGGGAAGGGTTCTATTATAGAGTATCAGTTGACTTCACCTGCCCAGCAACTGTTACTTTATCTTATAATAAAATGTAATTTTTTTTTTAGGAAGCTACCCACCCCTCTTGACCTTTCAACCACCTGGACTGGATAAAGTTGACCCTAATCAAGCTACTCAGCCTAGACCACTCAATGTATTTTACCCCCCTAACTGTCACAGACTTTGGACTACAGACTAAAAAACTGGTCATCACACTTTAGGGTGTATCAGAATCACCTGGGGGGCTTAGACCCTCAGAGTTTAGAATTCAAAAGTCTGGAGTAAGGCCTGAGAATCTGCATTTCTAACAAGCTCCAAGGTGATTCTCTTGTGACTGATTTAGGCACCACCCTTAGAACTGGCAACAACTCAAGCCAGCCCAGCCACGTTCAGCTCCAGAGCTCTTGCAAGCAAGGATTGCTGGAGGGGTAAGAAGAAAGCTTCGAGTTCCTGGAGGCTGTAAGATAATCAGAGGGATCAGAGGACTAGCAACTCAGAAGACAATTACAAAACGAAAAGAATCAGCACAAATAACATTTGTGCTGTCCTTTGAGACTCTGGATCAAGACAGGCACCTCTGGGCTTTTTCAAACTGTGTGGCAATAGACTCCCTTTCATGCTGAAAGCATTTGAGTTGGGTTTCTGATATTCACAAGGGAAGTATCTTCAGCTGATACAAATGAACTATTTAGAACTTTCATTACCTATTTTACTCAGAAGTGGTGAGTGACTAGGGTAGAGGGGACAAGGGGGTCTTGCAATAAATACAAAGAGACTGGAAATTTTAACAACAAAATAAAGAAAAACATCATTAATGTGGCCAGAGTAGAAACTGGCTTCCTCAACATTTATACAGAAAAATCATGTTAAAACATAACAAACCATGTTCTACTGCCAAGCATTAAAGGGGGAATTCTTTCTTCCTGTCCTCTCGTTACCTTCTACATTGAATAAACTCGACTAGCAAAACTGATAGCATGTCTTTATTTTCTCTTTAACAACTTTCCTGAAGAAGTGACATAATCAGAAATATTAAGGATAATCTGCAAAGATAAGCTGTGTATGCTTAGCTCAGTCCCTGATATCTCCTGTTTCTCTTTGCTAGAGCAAGCTGCCTTCAGAAATGTCCATTCTACTGCATGCATCCATAGAATGGGTGTTACAGGAGCAATCCTTTTTTCCACAAAGGATGCCTGCCCAGTTCTGAACTACTATTCAAGTGGACAATTCTGTCTAATTCTGAAGTTCAGTAGGTATAAGCAATATTATTAATGTATGTTATTACTAATTAAAATGATACTTGCCTTCCATCCTCATTGTAATATTTTCTCTACTGGCTCAGAATTCCAGTGACAAAAAAACGGAGGACTGTATTTCCTTAGGTCTCTTAAACTTTAATGTCTGGGAGACTAAACCAGACCATACCCTTAAGTGCTCAATATTGATTTTATCTCTTTGGGAAAAAACTCAGACCTAATTTAAAGAATTGGCTGGGGACAGTGGCTCATGCCTGTAATCCCAGCACTTTGGGAGGCTGAGACAGAAAGATCGCTTGAGGCTAGGAGTTCAAGACCAGCCTGGGCAACATAGCAAGACCTAGTCTCTACAAATTAAAAGAAAATATTAGCCAGGCATAGAGCTGTGTACCTATAGTGCTAGCTACTCAGGAGGCTAAGGTAGGAGGATCACTGGAGCCCAGGAGTTTGAGGCTGCACTCCAGCCTAGGTAACACAGCAAGACACTGTCTCTAAAGTATAAAAATAAAATTTCTTATATTCCCTATAAGCACAAAAATTAGATTTACATATTATGAGCTTCTATGTGGTGTTTTGACAACTAGTGACAAATCACTCTCTTAATATAAGAAAAAAAGATGTTGGTTAACTTAAATATAAATATCAAAATGCAACATAAATCTGCTAACAAATAACTAGGAAATAAAATTGCTTAGTGTTAAAAATCAAGACTGGTTGTGAAAATGCAAAGCAAGATAACCTAAATTCACATGCTCTAAATTAATAAGTGACTGAAAGAAACATCTACTGTCAAATTGGCTATAGCTACTCCTACCAGGAAGGGGAGCTGGGCTGGAAAATGATGGGGATGGGGAGTCATGGTCAATAGCCATGGAAACAGAGAAACTGAACTATGATGATTCTGCTAGTCATGCTAATTCTTATTTTATAAAGAAAAAAAAAAAAAACCGAAGATGAGAACTAAGAAGTGAGAATGGAGAATCTCTGGTGAAGACTGGGGTTCCAAAAGGAATCTGAAGATACAATTTTAAAGTCAAGTTGAGAGCTTTCAGAGAAATTCTGGATGAATTGACCTCCAGGATTGAGGGGTTGGGAAATTCTGCTCACTAGAAAATTAACTTTTTACAGCAAACAAAAGTGTTTAATGAGATAGGAGATAGCAGAGAGACTGAGCGTGGATGTGGATAAGTATAAGAAGTAAAGTTAATGGTAGATTTAAGAGCTTAGCCCAGGAACACAAACTGAGAGTTCACAACGACTCACACAGAAGCCGCAACTAAGAGTTGGCTAGGGGATGGGGAGAAGGTTATGTGGAATCAAATTAGAAAAGGAATTTGCTTGGGAGGTCAAGGCAGGTGGATCATGAGGTCAGGAGATCGAGACCTTCCTGGCTAACATGGTGAAACACTGTCTCTATTAAAACTACAAAAAAATTAGCCTGGCATGGTGGCATGCGCCCAGCTACTTGGGAGGCAAAGGCAGGAAAATTGCTTGAACCCGGGAGGCACAGCTTGCAGTGAGCTGAGATCATGCCACTGCACTCCAGCCTGGGCAACAAAGCGAGACTCCATCTGGGAAATAAATAAATAAATAAATAAATAAATAAATAATAAATTGGCTTCACTGTGTGCTAAAGGAACTTATTCCTTTGTTGATGGAGACTTCAAAAAATAACTATATTATTGCACCCGGGCAAAGCATGAGCAATTGCTGAAAGTTTGAAACCCATGCCAAATTAACAAAATACGTTTTTTAAAATCTGTGTGTCATTTAATCAATAGTAGTGACAGAAACCTTTCACTCATCTCCTCTGAATGCTGTCTGCAAACTGAACCTCTTTCCACTTAAGGGGCAAATATATTCATACTTCACAGCAGCTTCTTTTAAAGTTCAGGGGAAAGAGAAGTAACTGGGGAGAAAGATAACAAGGCAAAACCAAGACTACTGAAAATTCCATATAAGGCAGGCACTGTGCTAAATACTGCATAATCACTATGAAATGTCATTATCACAATAAAATTGTAGATAAGTATCTTTCTCTTGCTTTAGAGGTTAGGACATTTATCTTGTAGAGGTTAAGCAGTTTGATCAAGATTCACACAGGTGGTAAATGGTAGACCCCTACATTGAACTCAGGTCTGCTAATTCCAAAGCTCATATCTTTATTAGTACAATGAACTGTCTTTGGAAAAAAGGTTTGACTTATTCCTCACATCATTGCCCAAGAAAAGCAGTAGGTAGAATTTAACTGGTGAAATTTCCATGCAGAAGCTGTTGTAAGGAGTTCTTATTTCTTCCCTATGGCCCAGTATCAGAATGTCACTCCATCTAATTCATGGGTAATATATCCAGCACCTTCCCTAAAGCAGCAACGTTGCCTTGCCTCCTTGTCACACATTGACTTCCATATTTCACTGATGGCCAACAAGCAGTCCACAAACCAGCTCTTAGAGTGATGAAGGACGTATACTTATGGAAAATTCTGGCCACGTTCAAGCTGTAGCTTCCTATTCCTATGAAGCAACAACATCTAGTGGATGAGCATGGAGAGTCCAGGGCTGTACTGCCTGACTTTGCCTTCTGCCTCCAAGACTTCTTCACTGGGTTACCTTGGGGGAGTTATTGGATTTTTCTATGCCTCAGATTCCCATCTGTAAAACAGGCATGAAGTTAGCAGGGTTAAATGTATCAATTCATGTGAAGTACTTCATAGAGTACCTATGGCTTAAACTGTGCGCTACTGCTAATTATGCCACATTCATTTCCCTCCCTTCCCCTGAAATGATTGAATCATGTTCTTTTCACTTATTATTTTTCTCTTTTTTTTTTTTTAGTGAGAATATGGGCTCTTTTTAAGTAGAAGCCACCTCTTGTGTCTTCTGTATGTCCCACAGTGGCTACCAGAGGGGTCTGAGAACAACCAGCTTTCCTAACTCCCGGGGGAGGGGCTTGTGTTTGAGACATTTGCTTTGGGGTCAAGGCTCGGGTCCTCACCATTTTCTTGTGTCTTCTGTATGTCCCACAGTGGCTACCAGAGGGGTCTGAGAACAACCAGCTTTCCTAACTCCTGGGGGAGGGGCTTGTGTTTGAGACATTTGCTTTGGGGTCAAGGCTCGGGTCCTCACCATTTCTACACATGAGGTTCCTGGCCAAAACTAAGAGCTCAGCAAAAAAGAATAATAATGGGAAATGCTGAGAGGAAGCAAATTGACCTTTTGTGGCTCTCAGACTTGAGGAGAGAAGTTAAGAAAACGAAGACTTATAGAGTACCAGTAAAGAATCTTCATATTTTGTCCACAATTCCCTAGCTCTACTGGTCCCACATCCCCTTCTCCATAATATCAGCAATTTTTAAAAGTGTGTAAGTATGGTATAAAATGCTTTATTAAAAAAAGTTTCTGGAACCCCCCCCCAAAAAAATTAGCAAATACTACATACTTATAAATGATTTACAATGTACATTAGCTTATTAAAGTCTCCTAATAAGCCTTGCAATAAAGAACTCCATTTCATTTTGTTTGACCTAACACTCCTCAATTCCGTTTTATCAAGTTTTTAAAAATTACTATGAGAAATACATTTTAAATGGAAAAATTTGCAAAATGACTTTTTACAGCTTGGTGCTATATATGCTATGTAGATAAGGACGGGAAAAGTCAACAAAAACCAGTGTAGTCAATTTTTTGTATTAGCAAGGGTAAGTTTTTGTACGAGCAAGAAGTTCTAGGCAGAGGAAGCAGTTCATGCAGCATTAGGCCCCAATTCTGAGGAGTATAACTCAAGTTATGCTTGGTATAGTAATGTATTCTTAATAATAGAAACATAGATCAATCCATTATTATTAATTGTCAACCGAACTTAATGCTTTTCCAAGAATATAATCACATTACAATAAATGATAAACACAAGGTTGAGGAATATTTCTATCCTTGCTTTTGATTTCTTGTGAGTCAGACCTATTCTTTGCATCATTTCTATAAACTAGTTGAAATTGGACACACTGGGGGGTCTTAGAGAACATTAAAGGGATTACTAAATAAGCCAATGAGATAGTACTTAATAACTTGAGGACTGTGGGTATTTTAGTTTCATTGCCTGATTTTATGACTTCTGTGAATAAAAATTAAAATTTCCCAACCCCTTATCACTGTAAAAAGCAATCCAAAATTGTAGCTCATAAGCAAAACAGCCCTTTTCCTCTCCCAAATCTCTTTATCCTCCTGGCTGCTTTCTTCTACCAGCAGTGAAGTTCAGGGGTTGGGGGAGGGGACATGTCTGAAAATGAAAGTTTCATTAATTTCAAAAAATCAAATTACTGGATAACGGCATTTTGCGACTTAGCCCTGCTTTTTAATTATTAGTGGTAAAAGAAAGTGCAATTTACAAATACCTTTATTACAAAGTTTTCATAAAAGAATAATGACTGAGAGAGACACATGACAGTATCCTCAGCTCTGTCGTTTTTTTATGACTATACTTTTGGAGTATTTATTTTCCAGGGAAAATGAAAGGAACTCACTGTCAGGAGAGATCAGGGTGAGGTCGCCATCTAGTGGCTGCTTTTCAGAAGCGGCTGTGAATCCCGTCACCCTTCAGAGACAAGCCCAGAGGAGTGAGCAAGAGATGTGTGACTTATTACCAGGGCCTTTGCAGGATCCAGATGCACCAACAGTTGATACAGTTCTTGAATAATTAATTCAGGTTGGCTGTGGGCGCTACCTAGTGTAACCATTTGTACATCTCTTTTAAAATGTTCATTTCAGAATGCAAATTTATGCTTCAGGCATGTAGACCAGGAACTTCACCTCCCACTTCTAAGTTATGTCTGTGTGTAATCGAAGTGTTTTGGATAATTGTGGTGGTGGTTCTGTTTGTCTTTGTTTTTGTGAGGGACAGGTCAAGTGTTGTGGTCTACCTCCTGTAAGTTTCTCAGGAGACTTTAATAAGCGAATGCATTCCCCACCTCACTCCAACCCGTTCCATTATATTTTTCCCATATCGTAAGATAAATTATTTTCTTATGATAGATTTTGAAGTACAGCAAGTGGAATGATTTTGTGAAATCACACTGACATGGATTTGGAGCTTAATTATACAACGTCCTCAAAGTTTCACGCCTCCTTTCTGTAAAAGGTAAGTGACATTAAGAACACTTACCTTTAAAGGCTATAGTGAATGATAGATGATTAAAGGAGCTGATATGCTTAACACAGCTAAGTTTCTAATACCTACTGGGCACCGGATATGTGCCTAGATGCTCTTCCTTAATCCACAGGCTATCTGTCTCTACACACACACACCTGCACATGCACATACATATCTTACTATATTTCCTGATTCCAGAAGTATAGAAACTCAGGCTCATGAACATAAAATTAAACCATAAGATCCCAAATTACAGAATATTCATGCTGGAAAAGGCCTTAGAAATAACAGAATTTCAATTTTAAAAATGAGGAAATTAGGAAAAAGAGGTTTAATGTATCTATCCCAAAGGCATAAAACATTTTATTGGCAATGATTGTATTAGACCCCCCCGGGCCCCTGACTGTCTTATTCACAGAAGAAACCATCGAGATGGCTTAGGACACTGACTGCATTTAACAAGGCTCAGGAATGTTAACTTTCCTAATATCCTGCAAGTTAATGTCAGGGCCCACATCTGATGCCAACGGTGTTACATGTAATACCCCATGCTGCCCCAAGTCTTCTTTCCCATATGGATAAGAATTCAGCTTCATAGATGTGTCCTGCTCTAGAATATCAGAGAGGGAAGACTTATGAGATAGAGCATGTAAAATGGCACTTGATGATAGTCTCTCTCGTACCTCAGCCTTCATCAATTACATCCACCATCAAATTCAGGCTGAAGATCTACCTTTATAAACCACTTCTGACTTCTCCAGCCCAAATGGGTAATTCTGTCTTCTGACTGACAAATTATAATCTCACCCACCAAAATTAGAATCTCTTTATATATTTTGGTCCTATTTTCAAATACTAGAACCCTATGTATTCTGCTTGATTGGTTCATTATTTGAGGAAACAGGTAATCTCATCTGTTTCCATTTTATCTTCTGCAATTCTAGCATGCTGCTGACATAGAACAGACTCTTAGGAAATACTTATTGATTGTGTGGAGCTCTGAATGTTTCTTTCCATACGAATGGGTGCATTAATTTTTTCCTCACCCTTTTAAATGTAAATTCCACCAGGCCAAAGATTTGCTTGTTTGTTCACTGCTGTATTCTCAGTGCCTTATAAAATGGTGTGTGGTGCAGAATAGATAATTAACAATGATTAAATAAGTAATTAATTAAACCAAACCTTATTCAGCACCTTCTAAGTATCATGCACTGTTTTAGTACTTTACCTGTAATGTTCTGAATTTCTGGTTTGTCCATCTCTTCTGCTAGAGAGTGATTCACTCACTGATGGAAGGAACTGGCATATGGGAGGATGATTGACATGTGATTTTTGAATGATTGAATAATAAAATGATCTGTAGAACCCTACATCTGTTCTCCAGACACATACTCTATGCCTAAGGAGAGAGACCCATAAATATGTAGTTATAGTTAGCAGGTAATTTCCATAACGCACATTGATGAAAAGGGATTGTAAAATACACAGGAAGACCTTCTTAGCCTTGCCTGAGTTGGTCTACAGAAAACACGATTTGTGACTTCTACTATGCAAAATAAAAGGTTTTGCAAAACACTGTTCGCTCACTGAATGACTGAGAGGACCATGAGAGAAAAGAGAGACAAATTTCACCATTGTCATACTCACCCTCAGCCACATCATCATCCACGGTTAACTTAAGGCTTTTTCCTCTCCGCACCACCCGAACGGTGTGCCACTCATTGTCATTGAGCTTCTGCCCTGCATACAGGGTCTCTGGTCCTTTGCCTAAGGATGGTAGTAAGTGCCAAAGTTAGAATCAATTCTCAAAGTATTGTTCATGCATCAGGGCTGTCAAAACCACACTGGTGCACGTGAGCCAGCAGCACTCAAGGAATTATATTCCACCCAAAGTCCATTCGAATTTTACTAATCCAACGGATTCTCTGTAGGAATCCCCATGTGCAAAAGTCTCAATTCAAACATAACGGATAATGGCACAGTAATGAAAAAAATTGCGCCTTCCTTTATCTCAGATATAAGGTTTTCAAATGCCAATGGCAGTAAGCAATCATTTACAGGAAGCTGTAGTCAGCAGTCATTAATCTCTCAAAGTCTTAGAATCCAGATGCATTTCTTTAAGATAATAGGAAATTTACTGTAATATTTTTTCTTTAGAATAACTTGGCCATTTGGCATTATACACCAGTCTGGCTTTTATAGTTTCCACCAATAGGACGAGAAAAGGACTTTGCAACACATACTGCCTTAACTTGACATTTCCATTAACACAGGGTCCTACTAGGATTTGCAACCATAGAAATCACAATAGTAAGCATTACAATAGTAATAATGTCAAGTTTTAAACCCCATCATAAATAATGCTCCTGAAGGGAATATAAGGGCCCCCAGAATTTTCTCATTGTTCATCATCCTCCAAAAGGATCCAAAGACCTAAAACCTGAAATGATGTAAAGTTCCAAAACTGAAACTTTTCAGGACAAAAGCATGACTAATATAAAGTGCCACTAAATAGAGGAATAAACCAAGTTGTCCCAAGAGATCCACGCTCCAGATGCTCACGCTAAGGTTCAACTGAACCCTATAAAGAATCAGGGGTAACAGGAATTGTACTTGGGGCAAAAGATGACAAGAGAGACACAGAGGCATTAAAACGATCCAGTTAATAAAGAAAGAAAATGTCACATTCTTTTAGGATGTATATCGTTATTGATCTGAAGTATAAATTTAAAAGACAAAGAAGATTACATAGAAGCAGAAGATAGACCAAGTTTGCTCTTTCTAGGAGGATAGCTGAGCTCATGAAGAAAGATGCTGATTAAATACTTTTGGATTAGTCAGTCTATATGTGGAAAGCCCCGTTCCTGAAAATGACTAGGGAAAAAAAAAGATAACAGCATATAAGTGGCTAATATTTCCCTATGGATATATGTGAAATGGTTTGGAAAACCATATACTTGGCCCCAACATATACTGAGCACAGGGCCAAGTGCATAGTAGGAGCTTTAATGAGTGCTTGAATAATCAATGTCTACATAGGTCTGTTTCTATGGTAACCATCAATTAGGGTCAATATGTATTCATCTAAGTAATTTTGAAAGCTTTATTACGTAACTGTCACTAGCTACTCTCCTCCCTCCTATACCTTCAAGACTGAAGATATTTTATATGGGGGAATATAAATCTCCAGGTAATTTCAAACTACACCTTTTAATTTTGAGTAATTAGTATTCCTATTTTCTGCTGGTTATAAGAGTTATGGTAGTAGTTCAAGTTTGGAGGAATTCTCCTCTTGAAAAATAAACAGACTTTCAAAGTGAAAAAGTTTCTTTTAATTACAATGAGCACAGCAAATAACTTATATTTAATAATTTTCAGAATGCACCCAAAGCTCAAGTGCAACCCACATTGACAAGAATCTTGAACATTTAGTAAGGAAACCTAAAGGACCAAACGCCTTCAAAATTAGGGAGTGAAGCCATAAGAGCAATGAATCTTAGGAATAAAGTAACTCTACAATAAACCATTGTAGATTCCATCTCAGCTTCTCTTGCTTTATATGTTTGTCTCAACGTTACATAAAACGTATGTATTATAACAGAATTTCCCTACATTTTCAACTGATTAGATACCACTCTTCATTATCTTATTAAGTTGAGGTCTAAGATTGATTTAACAGTTGCCTTCACAACAGCCAACAGTGAGGGCATTGAAAGAAAATGGACCACATCATGTGGATACTTTATAAAAAGAACAGATGTTCCCAGAAAAAACAAATCTGTCTTTGATTTTTTATGTTTTTATTCTCTTTATTCTACATGCAAATGCTTCAATAAGAAAGAAAAAAGTAAAGAAAGATGTGGAGAATATTAGCTATGAAGGCAGAACTGCTACAAGTACGGGCTATTTAAAACATCTTCTATAAGGTGGCATCTGTTCTTTAGGCAATTTTTGTACATCACTTAATTTTTATGATTGGGGACAAGATAAGGGAAAATGACTAACACAAACATAGTAGTTTGGGAACATTGCTTCATTCGTGTCACATTACCTATAGAGTTATAAAACAAGCTTTCTTTCAGCCCAATGATGCTAGCGTTTGGAGGTCCATCAGCTCTTATGCTATCCTTGAGATATTCACAGTGGTCAGATTCAAACACAAATATTTAACTGTCTATTTGACTGTAAAACTTTGGAATGTGATGGCCAACGAATAAAAATGTAAGAAAAAGAAAAAAAGAAAAAAGAAAACCCACAAAACTGAAGCTTCTCATGCCCTACTATTTAGTTACATTTGATACCTCCAACAGCAACAATTCTTATTATTCTTAGCGTAGAAAAAACAAGATTCATACTTATCTCATCAAAATGACATGGAATGGTATTTGATATTCATTTTCAAACAATAAATAAGTAAGTCCCAGTGGAATTTTGTAAAACTCCTGGCCTCCAGAAGTGGAGAGTCAACGGCATTTATCCTTAATCAAGCCAAAAGGTCAAGTCATTCTACAGAGGAAAAGTGATGTTTAAACTCAGCAGGAAATCTAGGCAAAGAGAGAGGAGGAGCAAACCTAATCAGTAGCCCAAGAATAAAAGTGAATTGATAAGTAATGCAAGATGCAGACACAAGCTGAAGTTGAAATATACAAACTTTTCAGGACGATCTGGTCTAGGGATTACTTTTTCTGGCCTATTCAAGCAAAAAACGCAGTGAAGTAGCATCAGTGAAACAATGAATGTAAAGAGTTCTTCATGTAAGCAAAGGATAGTTCAGACAAAAAGAAGAAAACACTGAAATTTAAAATGAAACTAGTGGGAACTTAAGAAAGATCTCAAAACCATCAACTTTCCTGTATTTTTATAACTAGGAAAGTTATGATCTGCAACTGGGTACATATTAGATCTATGTATTACATGTACTTTTCCCTTTTATAGTTTAAGTAATAAATATTGATCACAAAAAAATCCTTTGATTCTCTTGAGGCTGCCTAAACTATCACTGATGGATCTAAGTAGAGAATATTAATAAATTACCTAAGACTCCTCAGTTGAATTTCCCAGGTAATGACACTCATGCCTGGAATAAAGATGCAAAAGATTTCTGGGATGCAAAACTTCGTAAAGATAGTGTTGAATTGTTTACTATTGTAGAACAGAGAGCCTTTAACGAATGCCCTGGGTAATACCAGCCAAATACTCACACAAGCTATCCTTATTGAAAACTCATCTAACACCATCTCTTTGAGGTAAGGCTTTGTTTCACAGAAGATGACCTAATTCTCTGTTGAATGGAGGATACAGAATAAGATATCATGGATGAAATACAAAGACTAGATTGTTTTTCTTGACCTATCCTACAATAACCCTGTGGAACCCTTACTTCTTTTAGAAGCCAGAACCAATAATGAAATCAAACAGAAACATTAGGAGGTAATGCATTGCTGATTGCTTGGAGGAAGATGACACTCAGATATTATCAGATTTTTCCCTCTTTTGGCAGACAGAAAATCAGAGTGCATGTTAAAAATCTATATTTGAGCATTACTAAAGGCACACACCTTCACAAGGTGAACTGTGGATTTTAATTATTTTTAATTTATTTCAATTTTCTTAAAAACTAGGCCATTCATATTACATGAATTTGTTATTCCCCCCAGGAGCAATATAAGCAGGAAGACTACAAGTTACCCCTGACATACATGTGTTTGTCAATGTATTTCTAAGACCTGACCGAACCAACTAAACCAGATGGTTTTGCTCATACGCAGGGAGTAGAAATTCCTTCCATATGCCACAAAGCTCTGTTTCCAAAAGTGTATGGGGAACCATTGGAAACTTTTTTGCTTGGGTGGAGGTTGGGTAGGGAGAGGGTGATATCTCTATCATAATCACTTTGCTTTACCTGACCATCTTTCTATTTATTTAAACAGGGAAATGAAACAGTAACTTCATTTCCCATCAAACTATGTTTCACATGAACCAAAATTTCTACAATGCGTAAAATATATGAAAAATACCCCTTTAGAAAGGCATAGTGAAAGATGCATGTAATTATACATCTAAATGATATGGTTAATAAATGCTCAAAGTGATGGACTGTGTTAGATTTGAAGGACACCAAAGATATATCAAAAAAGAAAACTTACCTTTGCTTCCACCAGCACCTTTGGCTAGGCTAGCTGAGCTGTGACAAGCATTTCACTAAGCCCATAGCATCACACATTGTATTAGGCATCGTCCCCAGACAAAACAGATCAGATAAGTAAAAGCAGGGATGATAAGGAAAAAGAACAGGACTAAACGAAGAAGAGGAGGACAGAGAAGTAGGAAAAAGGCGTTTTATGTTCTGTCCACAAAATTTCAGCTTCTGGTTGTTTTCTTTGGGTGTCTAACCCAACAGAGATTGAGGAGGTGTTTTGTTTGTTTTATTTTGTTTTTACAAACTTAGTTTTAAAGCGTTCGTTTTCACTGGAGAAAACATTTTAAATCATAATTATTTTTAGAGCCAGTTTGGCAAAACACCTCAGATAGATCATTTCATTCTTACTGGAGTACTTAAGGCTCAGGAATAGCTGCCATACCTCCTACAACAGGTGTGGAAGGTACAGGGAGCTTTCTTGAAGTCTTCTACTGAGAAGTCTCCCCGGGAGGTGTGAGAAAGACAAGCGACCCAGCTATTTAGCCTGAGCACCCTCCAGGAGCCCCTGCTTCTACTTAAAACCTGCTAAAAACACCACCAATATTTATCAGGCTTTAATAAGCAAACA